GATAATAACTGCACAGGGAGTACAAGAATATGAGCCCACAGCCAAACTTAAACGTAGATTCTCAGATCCCCATTTTCAGATGCCTTCCTCAGAAGACTCAAGCCTCTGAAGGGATTCTAAAGAAAAATCTTATGACCTACACCCAGGAAACCATCCATATTTTGCTTAGCATAGCCATTGACTGTTGAAACCAAGAAGTATTGAGGCACAGTAGAGGCCATGGGGGAAATGATCAATTTTCATGTTAAAGGAGATGAAATCCTTGATTTTTATCTGTAGACAAGATGGTATGTTAATGTGTGCATGAGGAGTGGTGGAAAATGTTACGTCATCATTCTGCAATATTTGGCAATAGCATTTTTAATTCCCAACCATTTAATTTCACTCCCATTTTGTAATGAATAGGACCAAAGGTGAGATTATTTTGCCTTTTTTGTTTCACCTGTTACAGTAATATTTTATATATATATATATGTATATGATAAAGTAAAGCAGGCTCTTTTTGTTGACTTTTTTTTTCCTAAATCTATTTTAACAGGGAGGCCAAAAGTTGATGAGAGGGAGTTGTGTTTTTTTTTTTTTTTTTTATATATATATACAGTTCTGTTTTCATCAAGATGCAGTACAGATTTAGAGAATTCTTTATATTTTTAAATACTTAATACATTCATCCTTACGAAAAGAACACTGAGTCAGTGCTATCTCTTTCGTTGTCAGAGGGTGCAAGGAGTGCTAATCTGACGGTGGTGTTAAGTGTTCATACATTCCAAGATGAGAATTTTACCTGTGTGAGTGAGCGAGCATGGTACACTGCTAATGCATATCGTATCTACAGAACAAGTTGGTCACTGTTCAGTGTTCCTTTCATTCTGCACATATGTGAACAGCAGTAGTGGGTTATAATGAAAAGTAGAACAGTCTGCACTGTTCCACCATTAACACATCTGTGGAGGGTATGGTTGAATGTTTTTTCCTTTTTAATATTGTAAAATAAATTGTATGCAGTACTTGTACAGCTGATCTCATATACATGTTACATGCCTATAAAGTTTTCCTAATCCAACATTTCAGCACTGCGTTTGTTTCTGCAAGACAGAATGGAGAGAATGGATCGTTTAATTATGCTATTAAGTTTATTCACAAAATCAGAAATTGGCAAGAATTAAGAAGGGAATTAGAAAATGAAGACCATAAAAACAAAGATGTAAGAATGAAGCTGTTTTTATTAGTCAGATATTTTTGCCTAAAATGCCCAATTAATTGGTGAATTCTTAAATGACTGTGCATTTAATTATCTAGAATTCAATAAGCTCATCTACGGCACCATGTTTTTTGGGAGGAGTCATGTAATAAACCGTAAGGGAACATTGTGCTACCTTTTTTGGGGGGGGGCGATAAATATTATTTCCTTAATGTGCATTCTAGCACTGAATTTTAGAAAATTCTCTATGCACATTCCTGTTCTGTTTTACTGATAAAGACATATATTCCATCTGCTTCTGACCATGATGCCTTATTTTGATTTATGGTCAGCAGCTGAGTAACTGTTGATGTACGGTCTTCCTGTGTTACAAAAATTTACTTTTTCACAGTAAATTGTTATTTAATATGACCCTAATAGCAATTTGTGTGCTCTTATGAAGACTGTTATCTTACTTCTAGCTTTACCTTTATTGATTTTGCAATATAATGATCTCTGTGTCATAGAACATTTTAATTCAATTTCATTGTATTTTTTACCTTACTCATTGATTTCATTTATTCCATGTAATTGACATTACAATTTATTTAATTTATAGAGCGCTGCAGATCAGAGTTGAAAATGACTTGAACAAATTGAGTGAGGGCCTATGTGCTTCTCGTTGGCCACTTTACGTTTAACAAGCTAATTAGAGAAGGAAGCTTGCCTTTTCTTCCGCAAACAAGTTTAAGTGTCCATATTCTGTGTCATGTTAAGCATTAAACAAATTGCCACATTTCCTTTATTACCTTGATGATTTCTATGTGAGAATAGGCAGGGTAAGCAATTTTGCACTTTTAACGTTGAACTTGCAGTCTCCTTCTCTGTATTTTAAGAGAATGCCTCTTACTGCACACATAGAGGGGAAAATGGATGTCTGTTACACATAATACTTTTGGCAAGTAGAAATGTTTTAATGTTACCTTTTTGTGGAGTGCTGCTCTGGACATTTCTGAGTATGAAGAATGAAGAAAGTCAGATCTCTTGATCAATCCCCATGAAAAAGGTCTTTATAAACTCCATTCTGCCGAATGTGATGACTTCAGCATTCCGTTATATTTAAGGTCCGCATTAAATATGGTGTGGCCATCCCTGGATTTTTGTGGTGGTGCATACAAAAGGCTACTAAAGCTTTTCAGTGAATTTAGTTGCCCAGCTGGTGTTACCCATTGAAATTGTACAGATTTCGGTGCTAATCTCATTGTTTGTTAAATAAACTTCTAACTGGACCTTGCTTTAGTTTGATTGACATCTATTCTGAGTTGGAGAAAGAAGGAAATAGTGTTAAAATGTGACCTTATGCCTAATCTTTGATTTATTTATAATTTTCTTTCTAGTTAGAACACTGATCTCTGTAGATAAAGTATGCGTGTTTTTTTAATTTATTTATATAACATTTCATTTTGATAATATTGATATTTCTACATGTGTAATATATCTGCTTCCAGCGATCTCTAAAACCTAGAGCTATGGCCTTGTTTACGAGGTTAGACACTGTTTAATGAACAACTGGATTTCTAGATCTCCGTAATTTAAGAAAAAAAACACCTAAATCCAAAGATAAGCATAAATAACTTTTACTCAAGTGAAGTTGATATGTGGCCAGGACATACAGGGGGAGTACAAAGATCACCAATGTCTTGTTTCCTGCCTCACTGACACAAGTCTCAGAACCCACTTTAATATACATTTAATGTAAAACTGAGCATCACAGAAAAAAAAAAAAAAAGGTAAACACAAGTTCTATATCATTTATTTTATTCAATGGTGCAAATTCCAGAGAAGTAACTGTTCTGCTTCAAAAGTTTGTTTCTTTTCGTTTAAAAGACAGGTACAATAATCTAAACTGGTATGGGAATAAATCTGCAAAATCTATTTAGACATTTTTTAGTTAGTGTTCTTTTTAACTTTTATTGTTTGGTGAATGTGCATGTGTCATCCAAACTGCGCCTTCTTTTTAGTGCTGGGTGCACGGTGAGCCACAAAATTTATCCTAAATGTATTCAAAACCATCACTGTATGCATTACTGCAGAATTTAATATGTTGGTTTATTTATTAAAGGACCACTATAGGCACCCAGACCACATCAGCTGAATGAGGTGGTCTGGGTGCCATGTCCCTCTAGTTTTAACCCAGCAGCTGAAAACATAGCAGTTTCACTGAGGGTTAATCCAGTCTCTAGTGGCTGTCTCACTGACAGCTGCTAGAGGCGCTTCCCACTGTGAAGACGCTGGATGTCCATAGGAAAGCATTGAGTAATGCTTTTCTATGGGCGGTTTGAATGCCACGCATGCGCATTTGGATCTGATGTCAGCAGGGGGTGGAGAGTTCCCCTGCACAGATGGAGCCCGGCGCTGGAGAAAGGTTAGTGGCTGAAGGGGGTTTAACCCCTTCAGCCCGTCGAAAGGGGGCCCTGAGGGTGGGGAAGACCTAATGACCCGATAGTGCCAGGAAAAAGAGTTTGTTTTCCTGACACCATAGTGCTCCTTTAAAACATGTGGCACTTTTAAAATTAGATTTAAAACACTGTTGTCCATCCTCATTAAATAAGAGACTCTGTAAGCACCAATACCACATAGTATCTATGTAGTGATCTAGGTCCCATGTCCCTGTCTGTTTACCCTGTAACTGAAAACATTGCTGTTCCTGCAAAAGGAAAACCGCAAATAGAGGAGCTCCCATAGCTCTACCAGAGATAAATTCCATTATAGCTTAAATGACTTTCAAGTGCTTCTCTGAGGAGAAGAATTGGAATGGCTGAATCTTCAAGACTGATTACCTTAGCCAGGGACACAAAGTGCCAGCATAAACCTTTTAAAACCACTGCAAGAGGAGTGAACATACATACATACATACAGTGGAACATCATGGCATTAGGAACACGTTTGTGTTCCTTTAAGATGCATGCAGGTGACACAGGATGGCAAATAATGAGGCATTGACATTGTCTAATTGCAGGGAGAGGTATTTCTGCTCCTTCCCCTATTCTTATTTTATTTTTTTTAAAACAATTTATGACTCTTGATCTTTGTCCACATCTGCTGTGTGATTACTGCAAATATGAGTGCTACAATGGTGTGCTTTAAACATCTCAGTGATAGTATAAATATAAAATAAAATAAAGTGTAATTTTATGCATTACAGAAAGCACTAACACAATAATCACATTTAGCAGTGTATACCAATAAATAATGAACAGACAGGAAGTGATAAGTAAAAAGGCATACGACCTAAATTTTAGCACTGATAAAAAAAATGTGACATGACATTATATCACATGACCAAGTAAATAGAGAAATTGGTGATATAAAAAAAGGCCCTATAAAGTGTACATTCTACAAAATGTGATGGCACTATATAAATAATAAAATAATATATAACTTTTAAAACTGACAAGTAAATATTGGTAAGATAAATATTACAAAAACAGTGAAAATGAAAGTGCATACAAAAGTGTTTTTACAGGTAACAGGACATGCATGCCTAAAGTGGATTACTGTGTGCCACCAGTGAAGACTTTACTAGCAGTATTACCGGACACCCTGTTCCAAATTATTATGCAAATTCTATTTAAGTGTCACAAAAATTAAATATTTTGGTTTTCAGTTTAACTCATGGATGGCATTGTGTCTCAGGGCTCTTTTGATCACTGAAAACAATCTCTGACACCTGTGATAATTAGATTGCCAGGTGAGCCCAATTTAAGGAAAAACTACTAAAGGAGGGTGTTCCACATTATTAAGCAGAGCACCATTTTCATGCTGCCGAAAAGAGTGAAATAGTTCAATGCCTTGGACGAGGTATGAAAACATTAGATATTTCATGAAAACTTAAGCGTGATCATCACACTATTAAGAGATTTGTGGCTGAGTCAGAGCACAGACGGGTTCGTGTGGATAAAGGCACATTGAGGAAGATTTCTGCGAGATTCCATGCATCGGACCAAGAGAGCGGCTGCTAAAATACCATTACATAGCAGCAAACAGATATTTGAAGCTGCTGGTGCCTCTGGAGTCCTACGGACATCAAGGTGTAGAGTCCTCCAGAGTCTTGCAACTGTGCATAAACCTTCTATTCAGCTACCACTAACCAATGCTCACAAGCAGAAACTGCTGCATTGGGCAGAAAAATACATGAAGACTAATTAACAGTCCTCTTCACTGATGAGTGCCGTGCAACCCTGGATGGTCCAGATGGATGGAGTAGTAGATGGTTGGTGGACGGCCACACTGTTTCAACAAGGCTGCGACATCAGCAAGGCGGTGGTGGAGTCATGTTTTGGGCCGGAATCATGGGAAGAGAGCTGGTCGGCCCTTTTAGGGTCCCCAAAGGTGTAAAGATGACCTCTGCAAAGTATGTGGAGTTTCTGACTGACCACTTTCTTCCCTGGTACAGAAGGAAGAACTATGCTTTCCGTAATAAAATCATCTTCATGCATGACAATGCGCCATCTCATGCTGCAAAGAATACCTCTGTATCAATGGCTGCTATAGGGATAAAAGGAGAGAAAGTCATGGTGTGGCCTCCATCCTCCCCTGACCTCAATCCTATTGAGAACCTTTGGAGCATCCTCAAGCAAAAGATCTATGAGGGTAGGAGACAGTTTACATCCAAACCTCTGGGAGGCTATTCTGACATCTTGCAAACAAATTCAAGCAGAAACTGTCCAAAAACTCACAAGTTCAATGGATGCAAGATTTGTGAAGCTGCTATCAAATAAGGGGTCCTATGTTAAAATGTTTAAAAAGTTAAAATGTTGTTATAAGTTTGATTGAAATAGCTTTTGATTTCATAAAATATGCTGCAAACACAACAAATTACAATTTTCAGTTCTTTACAACCTATAAAGTGTTTTGAAACTTACTGTGCGTAATAATTTGGAACAGTGTATTGTAAGTTTTTTATGTTTAAAAAAAAAAATACTGTTCTCGTTAGGAGGTTTGTTCGATAAAATTTGAATTGTACTCTTAATAGTTGATAACATGAGAATTATGCTGACTGTTATTTACATCGATTATTTAGGTAAATGAGAAAAATATAATTTGCATAATAATTTGGAACAGGGTGTATATACTCGTGTATAAGTTGAGAAATTTTAGCCCTAAACTTCATTTTAAAACGCAGTTGACTTATCCACGGGTCAATGCTAGTTTCAATAGAATTTTGTATGGCGTTTGGGAGTCGAATGCGGGGCAATGTCGACTCCCGTACGCTGTTCTCTTAGCTGGTCGAGAAGTCGAACGGGCAGGGGTGCAGGCTTGCGTAGCTGACTCAAAAATCCATGATGTCGACAACCATGTAGTGCTGCCTGCGTTCGGGAGACGAACATGTGCGTTCGAGAGACGAACATGTGCGTTCGAATATACATATAGCGGCCACCCAGGAATCCTGTTTGCAGTTAATAGCCAGGGGTGGTCTGTGATTACGAGGTGTTAACAAGGGGACCACACAGTCTGTTCGGTAACCGAACAGAAGGGCAACAATTCCATTCAAATTCCATTTGAAAGTAGTACCCTCGACTTATCCACGAGCATATTTTACAATTGTTGGTCAAAAAACTGCACTCACCTTATACATGAGATCGACTTCTAGACGAGTATATATGGTACATACCTCCCAACAAAGATGTACAGAGAATGGGGACGCTAATGGGAGGGGAATAAAGGGGTTGGGCCAGTGCCGTGCTGGTTGACTGACAATCATAAAAGGCCAGCAAGCGCCCCCTTTAGGGTCCTAGAGCCCTGAACATATGTTGCTTGCTCTATGTTTGTTGGGGTCAGTTTCCTGGTGTGACCCGAAAATTGGGAATGTCTAGCCCAAATGAGAAAGGTTGGGAAACCTGGCATAAATAGGAGCTATAATTTAGATGTCTATGAGGACAGTACCTATATGTATAATAGCTTTGCCCTTCTCTGTTTGGAATAACTGATAAAACCCTCAAGATGAAAATAGGCCAGCATCTCCAAAATTTGAAGTAACTTTCCATAAACATGAGTTGTACTGTGCTCCTGGAATGATGAAACATATTCTGGTTTACTCTAACCCAAAGAAGATGTGGGCCCTGCTGACTGATTTGTGAAGATTCCAAGACTGAAACTAGCTTATGAAAGATACTAATATATCAGGTCCCAGCTCGCATTCTTTATTCCACTTTTATGTGTTCTGTGTGAACTACAACTACAATTCTCAGCCAGTCCTAGCACCTTGTTTTCAATTGTCTAGATAGGCCTTTACATTTATTCAGTTACAATTTAATTAATGAAAATACACACATTTTGGGCTGGCCCAAGATAATGTTTTGCGTGATCCAGTAACAAAATTTTGCCAATACAAACTAAATCCCCTCTTTCCTGAAGCCATGTTCCCACAAATCATTTCCTACACCGAATTACAATAATATACATGAAAATGTATGCACCCAAAACACATTTGATATCACCAACTCTTCTGTGTCTCCTGTTTAATACAGCGATTTCAAGCCTTACAGAATGTAAGATTACATTCTGTGAGACTTGAAATCGCTGTTTTGTAAAAGGAGCGAGTGCGCTGGATTTGGGATGCTGCACCCTATAATGTATGCATGTTCAGGTGAGTGCAGCCCTCTTGGTTTCATTTATATATATATATATATATATATATATATATATATATCTCCAAATATTAAATATATATATATTTTTTTTTAAAAACAGAAAATTGAATTTGGAATTTATTGCCAACAGCTTCAATGATGCTATCATTTCAATAAGCAACAAATGTATTCTAGAAAATTTAGTGATCATTCAGCTCAATTCACTTGAATTCAACTGATGAAATTTTGACATGGTTGCGTTATTTACTATTGACTGAATTGAATCAACTCAACACAGTCACAGCTATTTTTCAAATGAAGATGCATGGGTTGCTTTTTGAAAATAGCTCCAGTTAAGGGTAAGGGAAAGTTGGTTTTAAAGGGACACTCTGAGTACTATAACCACTTCATATCAATGCAATGGTTATAGTGCCTTGGGTCATCTCTCCATTCAAGATTTAACACCGAATTATGGTCTCCCCTGCAGCCCTAGTACCTCTGCTAAACACTGCCATCCTAATTCGTAGCAGCAATGAGTGTTCTAGGCAGAAAACGCTCAGCCTATCACTGTTGCCATTTTTGCTTGGTTTATTAACAGTTTGACTCTTATCTTGCTGTATCAGGTGTCCATGTTCTTTCCTGTCTGAGTTGGTCTTATAAAGCAGAGGTTTATACTTTAGTGTTATCACACCACCTAATATCAGGTTTAAACAGTATTCATTGACTGGTGATCAACTGATAGCTCTCAGGCAATAAATGCTGTTTAAATCAGGTGTGAGCTGGTAAGTATGAATTTATGCTTTGTCAGACCACCTTAAACCAGAAGGACAAGCACACTTTATAAAGCAAGGTAAGAGTCAACTCTTATGAAAGATCACCATCAGCTGATACCTAGAGTGTCCCTTTAGTGTATACTAGTTATGTGTGGAACTGCGTGTGGTGTACTACATGTGGAAATACTTTGAATTGTATCATACAAAGTTGTTAACAAAAATTAAAAAATATAGGTAATTTAAATCCAAATGTCAGTATACAGACTGAAATAGGCAAATAATGTCTGTACAATTAGAAATCATGGGGGTATACCACCAAAAAAGGGTATGTGGAAAGAATAGAAACACTGTAGAAAATTTTAGTGTTCAATAAAACTAGCTGTGTCTACACCCATATTGAAGAACTTTTCTAAACCACCACTTATTCCCTGAATTTTGCAGGGAAATTCTTGGGGGGGAGGGAGAGGAGATAAGAAGGTATGCCATAGATCCATAAAATACATTAGCCTGGTGTCAATGTACACCGTGATGGCTACTCATTATGCTGGCCAACGCCACTGAAGGCAGCACATGCTGTTTCTGCCCATGGCATAAATTGGATTGTTCCTTATTTATTTATAAAATATTTTACCAGGAAGGATACATTGAGATTTCTCTCATTTTCAAGTATGTCCTGTTATGTTGTAGATTTGTCCAGTGCTGAACAAATGTAAAACAGCACGACAGCGATGGTGAACCTAGGGCATGTTAGTCAAATGTTTGCCTTGTTTCAGGTACTTCAATATACTTGCTTGTTGGTGTTGAAGTGTCTGCAGCTGTCAACCAGCTCTATGATTGGCAGGTTATGGTGACCATAAAATGACGCATTACTGCCTTATTTGTGCTTTTTAAAATACTATACCATACTAATCCGGAAGTGTGGTGCGAATTGCTCCGTATACCGATTGAAGCGAAATCAAAGCTCTGAATGCTGATCCGAACCAAATTCAGTATACTGGCCTCCCAGATTACTCTAAAATGTTAAAACCCTCTACAGAAATGCCAACAAACACCCGCTGTCTAGATCATAAGGCTCCCCAGCACCCAAATGATATCAGAGTATATCTACTAGCTACTTTTAAGAAATCAATGGATTGTTGGAGGGACACACACCCAGTTCAAGGTTCCTGTCTAAAAATAGGTGCCCATGAGAGGCATTAAGTAAATAAGTGTGTAATTGTTTAATTTCCCTAACAAAAGGGGTTTGGAGGTGGTTTAGAGGTAGGCACAGTTTATTTACTTATTTTTTTTATAACAATTGGGAGGGGGGTTACATTTCTGCTCAGGGTGCCATGTAACCTTGTTGCGGCTGTCTGAGATAAATACATTGGTTACCAGCTACAGTTTGAGCACTCGGGCTCACCATTAACTGGTGTAGGTCCTCTCACTGTAGGAAGGCATTATTTAATGTTTGAATTGCCAAGCTGTGACTAAAAGCAACTTTTTCCATATCAACTAAGTATACCCAAACTTTTGGCAGTATTGTGGCTGTAATAGCATTAAAGCCACTCCAAGCACCAAAACAACTTAATCTAAATTAAGTTGTTATGGTGCCACAAGCACCCAGAGGCACTTTTAGTTGAACAGTATAACCCCCAAAGTTTACTCCAGTAGCTATGTTCACTCCCTCTCGGCGGCATCCGGCTACTGAATTTTCGGATTCAGTAGGCACGGAGTGCCGCTGGGCAAGTACGCCGTGAGTGGCTGACAGGGGTCACCTGATGGTCTCAGCCAATCAGTGACTCCCCATTCACAAAACTGACTTGGAAAAGGTACATGTCTTTTCAAACCAGTTTTGTGAATTGAAAATTCAGAAAACAGGTGTCACGGGGGGAGTGGACATCGCTGCAGGAGACAATTTTGGGTTTAAACCATTCAAGAACAATTTAACCTTTGAGGTAAGTGCCTACGGGCCTCCTTTAAATAAAGTTGTTTTGGTGCCTCAAACTCCAGTTCTCCAGATGTTGCTGAACTACAACTCCCATGATTATATGAATGAACTATAACCTGAGAATCATGGGAGTTGTAGTTCAGCAACATCTGGAGGGCCGGTGTTCTATCAAATTTAATTAGGGTTAGGATTAGGGACTTGTTCATATTTAGTGATATTTCACATTAGGGGAATATCTAAAAACTGCGATTCATCACACTCTGTTTTAACCTTTACCCCAAGGGTTAGGGTAAGAATAGAGTGTGAGAGAGGTTAGAAGCACTTACCTAACCCTAAATTGAACCCTCATTTAACCCTAAATGTCCCATGTCCTAAGCTTAGTGAGTGCACTAACTATAATGAAAGTGTAAAACTAGTTTTACTTACCTTCCAGGACCTTGCTCTGGAGGGGTAGCAGGAGTGCTAGCACGCATGTGCAGCACAGGAGCCAGCTGATTCCCCTCACCGGAAGTGACGAGTTAGGGGAATTTGATAAAACAGTATTTCTGTTTACATAAAGCCAATGTTATCAACTGTACTCTAAAATCATCATAAGGGGCTTTTTCTATTGTGTTACAATTTTAGAAAATAAATATCTTCGTAAATAAGAAAGAAATGTTTTAAAAAGTTGGATTAATCTTCCCGTTAGACATTAGAGCTGTAACATGTCTTGTCTATACAGCAGCAGCAGCGGCTTCTAGTTCCGCCTCCTCCAAGATGGAGACCGGATGTGAGGTGGCGCTGTCCGGGAATGTTTCCGGGTCACAAAGTCATGTGTGTGCCATCATGGCGAAGTCCAGGCTGGAACTTAATTTTGTGCGACTGCTGTCTCGGTGTGAAGCCATGGCATCCGAAAAGAGGCAGGAAGGGGAGTGGAGGCTGGAGAAGGTGAGAGGGGCATGGGGGCCATGATACTTCTGACATCTATCTCAGCTCCATGAACCTCTCAGTCCTGCTCACCTGCTGTAAAACACATGTTATTGCACGGGTTAAAAAAAACACACAACAATAATAATCATGTTTTTAGTGAATATAACGTGATGGAATTGTATAGGTGATACAGTTTTAATACGTTTTCATGGAAGACGTAGTTTTTTTTTTTTTTAATTATTATTTTTAAGGAATGCTCTAAGCATTAAAACCACTACATGTTTAATCTAGATGTAGTGCACAGAGGCTGTACCTTTTACTCAATGTAAAAAGCTTGCTGTTTATGTCAAACAGCAATATTTACATTTGTCCAAGCAGACACTTGTATTGGTTGTCAGACTTCCAGTAGCAATTGCATAATTTGTCATATATATATATATATATATATATATGTTTATTAAACCAGTATTTCAGGGTAGTCTTTATAAATAAACTTTCTTTTATTGTTATTCCAAAAGTTACATGAAAAAAGTCACCAAATCAATGTTTCAGTTCTGTGTAAGAACTTTCTTCAGGACATGTTTAAAAAAAAAAAAAAAAGAAGCTAATGTTATTTATAAGAACAAGAACTAGTTGCTCACGCAACACCTGAGTGCTTGTTCGCGTGTTCTGGTATTAAGGATGCATGTGCCACATGTGCACCATCACAATCATTTTGAAACCAGGAGTCTACCCAGGCATAAACTTACTGCCAATTGGCCATTTGCACATTCCCATAGATACCGTAATGCATCCTGCTGCAGCTGTTGTAGATAGGATTTGCCAATACCTAGTGGAGACCCACACTGTGCATACGCATTGTATTCCATGATGCAGTGTTCCTAATAACCATGGCGTCATGACACTAGTGATAGCAATGAATATAAGGCGCATTACATCATAGTGTACAGTTCGTATACATGGCGTGGATCTTCATTAGGTGCTGATGAATCACAACCAGATCAGCTTCAGGACGCGTTCCGCTATATATGGGAACGCACAGATAGCTAATTGGCAGTATGTGTATGCCCAGCTAGAACATCCTGGTTTCAAAATGATTGTGAGGGGGATCCTGCCTGTGGCACATGCATCCTTGGTACCAGAACACTCAGACAAGTGCTCAAGTGGGGTGAGCAACTAATTCTTGCTCTTATGAATAAAATTTGCTTCTTTGATTTGTTTTAAACATGTCCTGAGAAAATTCTTACACAGAACTGAAACATCAACTTTTTTTAAAACTATTTTTTTTCAATTTTTTTACCTTTCCTCAATCTCTTCCTCTTCTCCCCCTCTCTCAGGATCTGTTATTCTTTTCTTCCTGTCTTCTTTAGTTTTCTTTAAAATCATAAGACAAAGTACGGACTCTTTGCCTTATGGAGGATTCCTCCGCTTGACCAGCTCTGACCAGCGGAGGAGCAAAGTGTGCTTCATTTCCGCTGGTAAGAGCAATTTTCCCATGATCCTTACCTTCCCTCTGTGTTCCCACAATGCTTCCTGTCACTTTCCACAAAACTGCCGTATTGTGTTCTAACTGAATGACAACAGTATGTTCGTTTCTTTTAGAACGCAATTCGGCATTTTATTCGGATCGGAATTTCATTCTAATGAATGAAACTCCGATCCTATTCATTGCCGCGGCTGCATCTTGCAGCCGCTTAGTAGATAACTCCCTAATTCCCACGGTATCAGGGAGCTATCTACTAAAAGGCTGAAAGACCTAAATTGGTCTTTCAGCCACATTTACTAATACTGAGTAAAGATTACTTAGTATTAGTAAATTAAATGCCCCTTCTCGCTATACCGCGAGCAGGGGCATGTGTAGTAAGCAGTGAGCAGCTTATAGCGGCTCACTGTAAAAAACAAAACAAAACACTAACTAATAAACCCCCCCCCAATGCCCGTGGGGGCCCTAAATAAAGATGGGG